TAAATCATCAAACTGGGCTGACACTCAATAAGTGGTCTATGTATATCCGTAGAGAATGTGTGCCATGGTAGGAAAAAATAAATGCACAGTATATGCCCAAGTGGTGTAATTGGAAAATTTACATCAATTATACAATCAATAAGAAAGCCTACACATTTTTTATAAGTACAAGTTCCAGGAACAGGCTTATAATGTGCATGATTGCAGTGTGTACTGATAATTTGTAAACATTACCTTGGGAAAATATATATATATATATATCTATTTTTTTTTTTTGTGGTGAAAGCTGAAGCCATATTTAGATATGCTAAATTAGGATTTTTACATTGATGCATTTTAGTCCTAGCCAAGGTACAAAATTAAGCTAGTTTTCATTAAAAGCACTTTATTTTCAACACAACATCAAACCTCTTATAATCATCCATTCTGATATCTAAGGGGTCTGAGGAATAATAAACTGTACCCATTGCCGTGCGCTGGAGGACAAAGTGGTTTTTATGAAGAGAACTCCTGAGCTTTTCTAATGTATCTAAAGCCAAGACGTAAGTAGTTGGCATGGAGGAGGGAATGATTACAACCCCCATCAGGTTTTCTTTCCATTGGGGAAATTTCGCTTTGCTTTCTGTCCTGTAGACACATCTTGAAAATGAGGGAAGTCTCTGCTTAGACTGGAACAAGTGTCACCATTTGGAGATTTCTCTTCTATTCCTATTTGGGTGCACAACTGAAAATTTGTGATTTTCCCCCATTTTCAGTCCAGGTGATAATGGTCACAAGGACAGATAAAGAGAGTGACTCTCCTTAAAGTGTATCTAAAACCCAGAACAAAAATGTAATATATTGCAGCTTACCTTAGATGTGGTGGCTGCATTGGTTTTCTGTTTCAGCCTTTTTCACTTTTTTTTCCCCTGGTGATCTGACCAGTAATACGCTTCCTGTCTTAGGGTGACTCCACTTAAGTGGGGTATACACGGTTCGACTTTTTATGTTCAACCCGCAAGCATAAAAAATAGAACAGATTCCTCCATCAAGGCTTATGAGCATTGATGGTTGAATCCCCTGACGTACAGAGCGCCACAGGTTACTAAGAGCTCTAAGCAACCTGGGACACTATTGCTGCCCCCGCCTGAGACAAGCTCTCCAGGCTGCTCATTATAGGTACCACCCTGCTCCCAACTCTCTCAAATCTGCCACTTTTTCTTGGCCAGCTTGGTCTGTAAATGGAAGTTGAGAAATAACAGATCTACTGGCGCGATCACCGGGTAAAACAACAGTTTCAGGGGAGGCTCAGAAATCCAAAAAACAGCTGGTTAATGATAGTGCTAAATTGCATCATATATGTCATTTTTGATTTTGCCTATAGTTCCACTTAATTGGCAGGGCTTCTAACTCTTCCCTACCCTATACAAAAATGTAAACAAAGTCTTGGTTTTAGATACACTTTAGGTTCACCAGAAAGTCACACAGTGAATGGATGAGCCTGGCTTAATAAAAACTGGTCCCCTTTCCACGCACACGAACGCAATGGCAGCCGAGAATCTGATACTCAAATCTGATTGGCAGTTGTAAGCTGTTAGAACACTTTTATAAATGGCGTACGGGTTATTCATAAAATTATACAAAGGAGAAACTGTGCTAGTTGCCAAATATCCCTGATATTTGATAGATGTCGGGGACAGTTTTTTGAACGTTTGTCACTGGTGGAGATGGCTGTGATTTGGGGTTGAAGTGTTTAACTGCAAACTGAAATCCTCCTTTTTGCAGAATGCCAGATTCTTATTATTTCTTAAAGTTTCCTGTTTTTTTTTTTTGCTGTCACTATTGTGTGAACGAGAATGGTCCATGTGATAGGATCCATGAGCAAGGCACTGACAAATGGACTGCATTGTAGGGTCCTAAAATGCAAAAAAAAATAAAAATGTTTTATATTTCAGTTCAATAAACATATCATTAGGTATTCTTCTCTGTGGTCATAATGTCCGTATTGTGCGCGTATCGAGCATCGTGCTACAAACGACAGGCGACACAACGCTCGGGTGTGAACAGTTACCATTAAAAATTACGGGATTCTTCATGTTAGGCGCTGTTGTGCTTCAGGAAACACGTGACACAACGCTCAGGCGTCAATGGGGGCTTAGGGCGGTAGTTCCACTTTCTTTAAAGTGGAACTACACCCTAATTTACAGCCAACGAAGGCGCCATCTTGGACTTGGATTTCTGTTGCCATGGTGCTGCACATGAGATCAGCTATGACACCAGACATTGGAGGGCATGAAAGTTCGGTTGAGAGCTGAAATAAGCACACAGGCAACCTTGACGGTAACTGTTTTGGGACACATTAGAGTGATATTAAACCCACATGTGTTTTTTTAAATTCTCCACAAAAGAGCCCTTTGTACTTGTGTAGCTTTTTTTTTAATACTGCCCCCCACCTCCTGTTTACTGGTTTC